ATGTGATTCCTTATGAAAAATATTTCTTTGAGATTGTTATAATTATGATGTGTATAATTATGAATTTAAAACTGACAGTGATAGTTTTTACATGATTTTCATCATAATTTTTATAGACTTCCCTCTTTGTAGTGTTGCCATTTCCGTAGTTTCTTTTAAAATTCTAAACAATTGTTAAAATTGTAAATTGTGCATTCATAATAAATTATTAAATTACAAAAACATTTAACAGGATATTTAAAAAAATAAGCAAATTATTATATTAAATTGTCAGAAATGTTTAATAGTTAACTGCATTCGTTAACTAATAGATAAATAACAAATAAGATAGAAATGAGTTTTAACGAAGAACTACTTGCTTATCATGATTCCAGGAAGATTTTCCAACTTGCAATAAATTATTTCACCTTAAATGGCATATATCGGGAGAAACTCGAGACAGATTAGAGAGATGATGGTAGTGAATTAAAAACATTATGTCATACAATGTCGCAATTAAAAAAAAAGCAGACACTGTGCTATTTGTTATTACGATAGTAATAGCCACGTGATATAACTTTCTGCAAATACCACTCTGAACTCACATATTATAATTATAATGAATATTCGCGTAATTCTTTTTATTTTTTATTTCATTCAAGTAATTTTTTTCTATTCCAATTTATTTTATTAATACCAATAATAATTAACAGTTTATCGTAATTGTAATGTGGATGTTATCTTAAAATTTCCCTTCGATACCATTTACGTAATAATTTAAAAATAATTAAAAAATTATAGCAAACATTGTCGTGGGAATTTTCAAGAAAACTCTTGGTTCGAACCTTATAATGCGTTTCCTTTAAAGGAGTAAATAATATATAACACAGTAGAGAGTTTCCTTGTTTCCACCTCGAAATCAGGAAGAAATTCTTAAGTCCACCAGAGAAACTGGAATTATCATAAGAAGCTCTTGTTTTCTCCATCACGGAGAATGCGTTTATTGCCCTGTTTCAACTTAAGTGTTCATTGAACGAACGAGCTCACCGTGTAACGTCTCCTGAATGAACTTGAAACTGCCATTTTTCTTCGTTTTATCACGGTTACAATCCTTGCAAAAATGTCTCGACAAGAAAATCGCTAAACCACGATAAAACCGTAACCATTTATAAATGATAAAATCACGCGTTTAAGATATTTCCTACAATCGGAAATTCCAAATATAGTTTTTGCAAATCACATAGCAGCAGAAAAATTCCTCACTAGCAAAGTGTTATTAAAGAGAACCAATCGAGTAACTGTGCAAGAGACCAACGTCGTCAACAGGTAGCAAGTTGAAACATTCCTTCAAGTTCACTGAAACCTTTCTACTTTTTCAAACTTTCCATACCGGCTCGATAGGCCGCGGCTGTTGCCGGGAGTTTCCCTTGATTCGACTGAAAAGTTCTAAAGAGAACGGCCTCCCTCTCGAGCGGTAATGGCATGTGCAAGGACCGGCGGTACTGGTATTCATAACTGTAAAATGTGTTGACGATAGCCCAACATAATCAGGATGATACGTAACATGCGACAGTAGGGCAACCTGTTCTGTTCCCTCTGTTACCTGTTCTACTAGCCTACTGCACCCCGACCTCTATCACTGGATACTATTCCTCGGTGAGCTATTGTTCGATTGACATCTGTCCTGCATTTTTCTTCTTGCGAATGCAACGTGACAGACAGCCGTTTCTGCAAATTGTGTTAAATGCGTTTGAGTTGTACTTCGTTTTATTGGATTGCGTTTTCAAGCTGGCATAGCGTCTCTTCGTAGAGGATGCACCTTTCATAGAGGACGTGTTTCTTATTTCGTCATGTGCTCTGATGATGGGGAAATGATTTTTCTTTTCTTTTTTTAATATAATTTAAGGTCACCTCGATATCTTGGTTATTAGAGGGTACAGCTGGCGATTATTCTGGTAGATTGGTGCGTATGAAAGTTTGGATACATTGTGCTTCTTCGAAAAATAATGCATTTAATCGAAATCATTTGCACAATCATTTTGGAATAATTTATTTGTCAAAAAGAATTGTTCAGGTGTTTGAAGGAATGATAGTCTGTTGGCAAAATTTCATATTCTTTACTGTGGACTGTTTTGAATAATTTTTCTTAGAACGTTGTTATTGACGACCCTGTCTGGCCTTCCTCTTGGCTCATTTCCAATGAAAAGTCTTGAACAATCTTGAATTTTTACACACCAACGTTGAAGCAACCTAACATTTACATAACCTTCTTCAAATGCTGAAGTTAGATTTTCAGCAGTTTTTGCAAATTTACGCTTATGTGAAGAAATTACAGGCATATCCCGATTATTTGTCACAACAGATAATGTGCAAACAATTGTATTATGAATGTTCCTACTGTTTCTTCTCGATTATTGTGTATAAAAATTTATGGCCGGACAAAATTTAATATATGGTACCTATCAACCCTCCAATTTCAGTTGTTGAAAAAACGATATCTCATTTACACCAACTTAATATATTTCACAATAAAGGTTTAATTCTACGAATAAGTTCCACTACTTTCTTGAGGTTGTCTTCTGTTTCAAATATTTCTTCAATATTGTTAGTCATTTGGAGCTAATTTCTGGTGTCTTCTCTGCTCTTGTCGCTTCACAGTATGGTGGAATTGTTTATTATTTATTATATAAATAAACACCTCAGATAAAAAATTATTTACTATTAACGTTGATAAAACAGATGAATAACAACTATTAGTATTCAATATATTCCAATATATCGGAATATAAAAAGTTAACACCTGGAATACCAATTTAAATAAAAAATTGATTACTAAATAATGTTTTTATGATATCTTTAATACATATATTATATACACTATATGTTGGAATATATTATACAGTGTATACAATATGCATAAGATATCATAAAAACATTTAGTACAAAATTTTTGATTTAAAGTAAGATTCAAGGTGCTAACTTGATATTGAGCATTTCATGTAACGAAAAGACACCATATTTGCAATAGTGAAGCATGAAGGTTTAATGACTTACAAGAATGTAGGTTTCGATCTTGTACTTGTTGGAATACCTGCTCGTTTTTGTAACGTAATCTTACTTCTTGAACGGCGGAATCCTGGTTTAAGCAATACAATTTTGCAATGTCGTTCGAAATGGGTTTCTAACTACAAGAGTTAATTATACAAAATGACGAGAGAATCTATGTTAATTTTTTACAATTTTTTCCGCTTTTAACAGCATTTAATAATTGTGTCTTACTAAGAACTTATTTTAACACACTCATGAATATTCCCAAAATTATTCCAATAGGGATGATAAGATCTGCATGCGAATATATAATAGTACTCACTCGAGAAAAAAAAAGAAGGTTATTAATGACTGGTTCTAGTGATTTCTATTGGTATTCATTTAAATTTAATCTTAGATACTGTCAACGATCCAAAAAATGCTAAGGAAATAAAAATGCAAACTGTTTTTTTTCTCTATAATATTATTAATAAAGAGATAGATGATTAAGAATACAAGGTGAATATAAAATGAACGTCGAAAAAAGACAGGAAACATATTTATTTCAGAATCTTTCAGCATTTTTCCCATGTAAATTTAGACAGTGTAAATTATACACATTTGTCTGTACATTTCTTCGGAAGATTATTTGCGTTTCTCGTTAGATTAATTGCATGGTATTTACGTCTGGAATTTATAATTATATTTACATGTCAATGATCTTGGCTTATTCTGAGCATGCCCAAGTGTATTGGATATTAACGGGTAACAATGTAAATTTCTTTGAAAGTAGCAAGGTAAATCACCTGGTTCGAATCGTTAGAAGAAAACACATTCCGCTTCAGCTTAGCAACTGTGTTTAAACATATTCTAAATTCCTGTCCAATTTGGATCACTTGTTCCGTCAAGTGTTTCGCGTATTACTTTAAAGAGTGGAAAACGATCAGGTGTACGTTACAGTTGTGAAACTGCAATTTGAAGTGCTACAAACAAGATGCCAAGGGTAATCTGTATCGGTCGAAATTTACAAATCACTGTAGACATTCTTTTACGAATATATTTATATTGCCGTTCGGAAATATTAGGTCACTCGTGTTTGCGTAGAAAGTATTACAAGATTCAAATTACATTTCCTCGACGAAGTTAGCGTTATATGTATATTAGTAAAAATGTACATACATATGTACTCGTCATACTTCGAGATTCTAGAATGAATACTTATTTCTTCAGGATATTAATAATTTTCTAATAACTTTCGTGTGTCGAATAATTTTGTATTACACTTGTAACGACAACG